CCCCGGGACTGCCCCCACTCCGCGCGGCCTCTGCTCCCCGCGGGACAGCCCTGGATCCCTCGAGGGCTCCCGCAGCGCCTCGGAGGGCCGCGTGCCGGTAGCGTGTGCCCGGGCTTGCAGAAGCCGGAGCTCGAGAAAGCTGCTCGGTTCTGCGAGGCCCCGGAAAGGTGCCCTGAGTGGCAGGTGTCGCACCAGATGCCTTATTCCAGGACTGCGAGATGTTGGGATTGACGGGGCTGGAAGTGCGGCCGTATCTCAGCCTAATGCAATGAGTTTGTATAGTCATGAGCCAGAACTTGCTTGTTCATGCCCCTTATGTAAGGGAGCCACTTGCTTGGACCTCTCCCGAAGAGACTTGTGCTGAATAAGGGCATTAAAAAACAAACAAGCAAAACCCCTAAAATTGTGATATATGTCTTGCTTTCTCGCTGAGTAGTGTGTTTTCTTCCTTAGTATGACCTGTCGGCTTCCACGTTCTCTCCAGACGGCAGAGTGTTTCAAGTGGAATATGCTATGAAAGCTGTGGAGAACAGTAGGTAAGATACAAATATCTTTATCTCTTCATTAATTGGCGTTTTTTTAAAACAGATATGGTGACTTTGCAGAAAAATGGTGTTATCAAAAGAAGCTATGAACAGTTCTGTCCCTGTCTTAGGAGTTTTCAAATAAAATATAAAAGGGGTTTAATCACTTCTGCTTGCTCTGTGGTCCTGTAGAAACAGAGATGACAATATGGAGTAAGGGCAGTAAACTCACCTTTGCACGTAAAGGGCAATAAAGTCCTCTGCTTTGGGGCAGCTGGGTTGCAAGGTTCATTCGTATATGCAGGGTGCTTGGCCGTTCTGGTAACAGCACTGCAGAAGTACCTGAAAGCCCATCTAATGCATGTGAATTGAGACGCTGCAAATCTGACTAGCTCGAGGCCTCATAACTTTATAGCCAAGTCATTTGGCAGTTCCCAGTTTCTTGGAGAATGCTCCACACTGCAGCAGTAACAGCTGCTCCCTACAAGCGTGCCTCTTCCTCGGACGAAGGAGAAGCTGCAAAGCAAAAATCCCAGCTGTGCTCAGAGCAAAAGCGGGACCGATCAGCCTGGCACGGACGGGATCAGCGGTGTCTGGTCCTGGCACGCGCTGCTCGGTAGGGATCAGTGCGAGTGTTTTGTGGGGGTGAAGTTTGTGTTGTGTTTGGTCATTTGTGCTTGACCCTGCACCTTCCTGGAGGGTAACGAGAGACTCTCACGTCCCCCATATCCTGAATTTAGTGGGGGAGATTAAACAGCCCCTTGTTTTCATATTGGTATCATCCAGCCTGTGCTTCTCCTAACAGTGCTACCACCACATGCAGTCCTGCTCGGTTATTTGGGTAGGCACTTGGCAGCCCCTGCCTTACCCTTGTGTGAGAATATTTTGTGTAGGTTTAGTGAGCTTTTTATTTTACCTTTTTTCCTCTCCTTGCCTTCAGTGTTAAAATAGAGTCCTACAAAGATCATGCTCTGGTTCTACTTTTGTGGAAGCTATCATTATTTTTAGTATTTTGTTAACTCTCATGTTTATTTTTACCTCCCACATCCATTGTGCTTCCGTGCGAGATGTGCCTTTATCTTGTTTTTCAGTACAGCAATTGGGATAAGGTGTAAAGATGGAGTCGTCTTTGGAGTAGAAAAACTAGTTCTGTCCAAGCTTTATGAAGAGGGTTCCAATAAGCGTCTCTTCAACGTCGATCGACATGTTGGAATGGTGAGGTGCTATTTAACCCCAGCTTTTCACAAAGAGAGATTCCCTGCAAAGTAGATGCAAGTAATGTGAAAATCTCTGTGTACATAGTCAGAAATGCCAATGGATTTTTAGACTATTTTCTGTAATTGGTTGTGTGTGCACGTACGTTTATTTAGATAGAAGTAGAATACAAATTGAAAATCAAAGCTAGGTGTGTATATTCTGAGGCTGTTCTGATTTCCTTTGAGGAAGTTTGATTTGAACAAGTGGTAAAGTTGTCCTTTGTTACTCAGTAAAGGAATAAGGCTTGTGAAGAAGCATGATGTGCTTGTGCTCGTCACTTATGCACAAGATTCTCTTTTCCATCTTTATGATGTGGGATCCATTTGGCTCCCGGGCTCCCGTGAAGGCGGCCAGGTGGATCTTGCAGATTACTGGCTAATCTGTAACAGTTATGTCAGCATAAATAGAGGCTCCTGCGTGAGAGAAATGCCTGAAACTGTATGCACTTATCGCCAGTATTGGGGAAAAATCTGGGTTTGCTTCTGCTCTCCCTCCTCAAATCATACCAAACAGAAAGGGAAAGATATATTGTTATGGTTAACATCATTAACCTCACATAATTAGACTTAGTTGATTGATCTTAAGAAGGTCTTACAGGAAAGTGTTTTGCCTAACTGATGGTGTGTGTCACTGCAGGCGGTAGCAGGACTTCTGGCAGACGCTCGCTCCTTGGCAGACATAGCTAGAGAAGAAGCTTCTAACTTTAGGTCTAACTATGGCTACGATATTCCACTGAAGGTAAGGAAGTGGCACGGTACATTTGCTTTATTGGCTTTCTGAACCTCAACAGAGAGAATAACTTTCATTACAAGAAACTTAATTATTTCTGCAGATGAAGCTTTCTAATTTCTTTTTTTTCTTTTCCACTTAGCATCTTGCAGACAGAGTGGCCATGTACGTGCATGCATACACGCTATACAGTGCTGTCAGGCCTTTTGGTTGCAGGTGAGTCTTTCAAGTATGTATTTACCTGTAAAGATCTCTTATTTCATGGCTGATGTAAGTGTTTAGGTTAGCTGAGGTTCTTTTTGAAAAAAAAAAATCTAACAAAAAACCCCTAGAATTAGTAACTTAGAGGTCACAATGTAAACAGCTTCCTTTTTTGGAGGGTGGAAAATCTTGTGGAAAAGTAAGCAAAGAATTCATCCTTGCATAAGAGTGCACAGAATGTCACCCTCTTCCTAAACTTTAGATTTATGGTAGTGGCGATAGCACTAGAGAGATTCCTTATGTAATCATCCTGCTTGCCCTCATCGGGGTGGAATATGTTGTAATGGCCTGTACTTATTAGCACACACGGACTAATAAGCTGTTGAGAGCTGCAAAGGTGCTGATTGCTTATAGATCTAGTAAAATCTGACATGTCCAGTAAAATCTTACTGGCAGCTTCTACATGGTGGATGATCAAGAAAATAAAATATTTAGATAAATAGATAATATAAGATATATAGGATGTAGAAGTGGTCATTTTGCTTCAAGATGAATGTAGGAATCTTAGTCAGATATAGTCTTTTCAGTTTTTTTTGTTGTTGTTTGTAGAACAAATGCTTCTAACTTTACTTTTCTTATCTAGTTTTATGTTGGGGTCTTACGATAAAGATGATGGTGCCCAACTGTACATGATTGATCCATCGGGTGTTTCATACGTGAGTGTGTTGAAATATTTCCATTTTGATAAAGCTTCTCTTAAAAGTTCCTAATTGAAAATAGTAAGTGCCAGTGCAGAAGATCTGCTTATCTTCCTGAGAAGATCACTGCTTAAAGTGAATGAAGATGTTTTTTGCTCATCTTCATGTCTTTATTAAACACGTGCATGAATGTTTCTTTGGACAAGTATGGTCTTTGTGAAATTAGTTTTAAATTCTGTTTGTTAGAAATTGAGGAGCTCGACCTGGTTCTTTCTAGTACCATTCCCTGCCCCAAAAGGTGCATGGATTATGGGCATATTCCAGTCACAAAATACTTCTGGTAAGAGAGGCTGCCAATTTGACACTGGCATCTGACAGCAAGTCAAATCAAAATAGATGCCTAATTTTGTTAATCATTGTTAGTGTTGTCTCCTTTAGTTGTGTTTAATACACAGGATGTGCATTAGGTGTGTATAATCCACACTTCTGTTGTTGGTACTTAACCTAGTAATTGGATTTTATGCTGAGCAGATTAGGATTCTTATGTGAGAAATGCTTTCTCTTGCTTGTGAGATTATAGACCAATCCCAAGGTTTTCTGAGTTATTAGGGGTTTTGTTTCAGGGTGGACGGTACAGCACGAATGCTAGTGGGCTTGGTATTTAACTCTATTTGTTTTTCCATTCCTTTCTTTTTCTTCTAGGGTTACTGGGGCTGTGCCATTGGTAAAGCCAGGCAGGCTGCAAAAACAGAGATTGAAAAGCTTCAGGTAGGATGTTAAGGTTTGGGTTTGCTGTTTCCAAATGGATGTTCCAAACTTATAATATTAGTACCTATTAAATGCTTAAAACATATAAAACGTATAAAATACCAGAGAAGCAGAGGAAGCATTTCCTTTGTACATTTTAGAAGATGTTCTAGCCTCTCTCAGTATTTTTCAAGCCTTGTCCCAGGGCAACAGGAACTCCATAGGAAGTGCACACTTTTTAAACCAGGAAGCATAAACATATGCTCCCATTCATGCCAGCAAGCAAACTATTTGAATGAATATAAATGTATAACTTAATTCACTGTGAAATAAAGAGCTAAAACCTTAGGACACCATTGCGGAGGGCAGTATACCTATTCCTTTCCCAAAGATTTTAGATTATCCTTTTATTTAAAAATTGAAATATGCTGGTCTTCTAAGGGAGAATGAGTGGAACTGCAGAATCCTGTGTGATCACTGGAATATTATGACTCTGAAAATGTTAATGGAGAAAAAATCTTTGGCAGGTAAGACAGTATTTCCCAGTTGGCTAGTGTTGAGGTATTGCCTTAAAAAATCCTTGTAAGGACCTGGAACTTGTTGTTCTTAACTGACTATACTGCTTTAAAATATTTTTGCATTTCTGATGAAAAGGGCTGTAGTGCTGGGAACTTCAGTGACTATATAAATTGCAACAAAAAAAAACCCTTTGTAAATCCTGTAGGTGAGGTGACATAGTCTTAAAATCTGCACTTACGAAGCAGGTAATGCTATAATACATATGCAGAACAAAATGTTTTGAGGAATATTCAAATGTTGCATAAACGTATGTTGTTAACTCTGGGTACATCAGAGTAGCTACAATTTATAAGGGCATCTCAGAATCGTTGCCTTTGTTTAGCAAAAAAAAAATTCTTCTACACTTGACGCCACTATCATTTCTCACATAGTAATTTTACAATCCTAAAGAAAAGGTCTTACTTGAGGCGGGGAGATCAGTGAGTAGCATAAATTTCTCACCTACTTCTGAATACCTCGCAATGTACTACAAGTTACTGAGAGATATGTGAAATGGTTTGTAACTTGCAAACCATGAATCTTTGGAAGGAAACTCGTGAGACAGTGCAGGATTTACCAAGAAGCTAGAACTGAGTGGAACTTTGTTTGGGGAATTAATATTGCAAGTAATTGTCCTGCAAAGTAGTTAATTAGATAAATTATTCCTGTGATTTTTGACCAGATTCACTTTGTGAAGTAGAAATACAAAGTTGCCTCAGGACAAATGAAGTAATTAGGGAATTTTTGTTTCCCCCTCCTCCTTCCCTATCTCCCTCCTTCCCCCCTTTTAATGCCTGCGAGCAGATGAGGAATTTAGAAAATCTGTAGAAAACATTGCAGTTTTGCCTCTGGGCATAAAATTTGGGGAAATCCCCCCCAAATCCCCAAATATCCCTCTAAACCAAATACCTTAAACAATTAGGTATGAGCTTATTTTCATCACAAATGAGTGTAACTATATGACATCATCATTAAACAAAATAAATGTCTCTGTTCAAGGCTTCCTGTTTGCACAATACTGTAATTAATTATTTGTTAATGATAATTAGAAGAAGATTCAGAGAGTACTCTTTTGGTTTTCCTTGCTGCTTTTTGCTGAGTTCTGTGCATTTTCTGGATTAGTAAGAAAGTGGATGATTGTCCTGTAGTCATCCTTCCTAAGCTTCAGGACCTTCCTGACGTTCACTCGTGAAATCCGTCAGTGGAAGAATGACCTGTATGTCGCAGACTGAACAAAAGTGAAAGACAAAATGGCCTGATCCTACTTTCCTACTTGTAACTATGTGCCAGTACTGAAGAGCAAGTTCACTAGGCATGTGAATAGACACTCACGTTTTGTCTTGGGGAAATGGAATATATTCTCTTAAGCCGTGTGCTTTGTTTCTACAGATGAAGGAAATGACCTGTCGTGATGTTGTTAAAGAGGTTGCAAAAATGTAAGTCTCCTCCTTTTCCTTTTTTTTTTTTTTTTTTTTGCTTTCCTCCCAGTTTGACAGAAATTCTTGAGAGTGAGTTTGCCATGCTTTCAAACTGAAGTTGTTCCCTTTATATTTTACACCTACAAATTTACTCAATTTAATCTCCAACACTTTAGGGCTGTTGCTTAGAACATTTTTATAAAGAAACACTAAGCACTTCTATCATCAGTGCTGCAGTGTATGAGTTAACTTTACTCACCTGCCACAGAGTAGGAAACAGTACACAGTGGTTACACTGTTACTGCTGTTTTCACCAGTTGTTTTTACCTCACAGACTAGGGGCTGATTTCACTAGCCTGGATGCCAGTGCAGATGCTGCTCTACCACTTGTAGTTTAAACTCTGATCATCGTGTTTGCCTTCAGAATACCAGTCAGTACGGAAATCAATGTATAGGTCTCTAGTTTGTCATGTAAGATATTGTACCTCCAATTCTGCTGGTATTTGGTCTTAAATATAAACTTACGTTTATTGGAGAAATACAGGACATGTCTAGCTGTATTCTAAATAAGCCAGCAAAAGCAGGCAGCAATGGCTGCCTTGTATAGAGCTTAAGTTCTGTGATATTTAAACTCTGAACAATGTTTTAAAGATACTGTATTTCTACCTATGATAAATAGAACACTGGGACTAGATAAGTAGTTGGTATCTTAGTTCCAGTCCTAATTATTAGTATAAGAATACACTAAATCATTACAGCTATCTCTGGTGTTTTTCTGTTTGTATATGTACAGGAGAAAGCCTGGGCAGAGCTTCTATTGACAGCAATAAGAATATTTCAAGGGAGGGAATACATTCAGTCCATTGAGCAGTTGACTCTAATCTGTACTCTTTTTGTTCTTTACAGAATCTACATAGTTCATGATGAAGTAAAGGATAAAGCTTTTGAATTGGAACTCAGCTGGGTTGGAGAAAGTAATGCATTTTTTATTATTATTTATTTATGTAAACATTTTAGAAGATTTCTAAGCCTCTGTAGCTGAACTATAACATTATTTCTAACTTCACCGTGCATGTTAAGGTCTTCATGTGAATTCTGCCTAAGGTGTACTTTTTTTATTGACAGTAACCAATGGAAAACATGAAATTGTTCCCAAAGATATCAGGGAAGAAGCAGAAAAATATGCCAAGGTAAGGCCCAACTTTTTGGGAGCCATCTCAATGGTCTGCTTGACCGATCCAGAATAGAATGAATTAACTGGCAATTAGGCTTCTAGTGCAGTGAACACTGAGGAGGGTATAGTTGCAGCCCAAATCACTTAATTACTAAAGGAAATTATTTGGAAGAGAGAAGTACACTATGTAATCTTGGGATAGTTCTCTTGAAAAACGGGACAATTCAACAAGCTTGCCCAGGTGGCATGTTTCTCCTTCAAAAATAAGCTTTCAACACTAGCATAATACACCTAAGTAAGTAGGAGAGACAGTAAGTCAGATTGATTATAACTGCTCTTAAAGATAACCAGATGGAAACAAAAAATTAAAATATTCCCCATGTTTAACAGATCTCCACGTGTTCCAAAAGTACTGATGGCACTAAGTTGACCTGCCTAAAGACATGAGCAAATTGACAACACTACAAATTGACAACATTATAAAGCTCTACAGGAAAACTCCCTTTGCTTATTGTAGGCTGACTTATAAAACTGTTAAACCACAGCAAGGGTGTGTCTTTTACTAAGCTGCCTTTTTTTTTTTTTAAATACAGGAATCTTTGAAAGAGGAGGATGAATCAGATGATGACAATATGTAACATATTGTTACTTCAAGACAAGTTCAACTTTTCTTAGTACAGGTTTGTTTATAATGTATTAACCATGGGATGCCATTATGTACTTGCTGGAAGATACTGAGTGACCAACTTGCACTAATAAATTTTCCATTTAACTCTATGTTAACTTTTACTTCAAAATAGTATAGGCTGATATTACTCAGAAGCAACTATAGTAAAGTTAGTCCATCTGTATCAAAATGGAAAAAGAAAAAAATTTGAGGCTGGTGGCAAAGAAAAATAGTCTGCCTTGGATTGTGACAAGATTAGTCATTCTCTCATATTCCATAGTTTAAAATCTAGTATTTGACTACTCCCTCCATAACCTGTATTGTGACTTGCCATTCAGATAGCCACAACCTACCTCAGGCAGCTTGGAGGGGGGAAAGATGAGAACACAGCTCTGCAAAAGAGCTGGTTACAGGCTTGGGTGGTGGTGTGTGCAGCTAACGACAACCAGCCAGGGGCACTAGCAGTGTTCAGGAAGAGGAATTTTGTTCTGATATAATTTTTGGAAATTTTGATCTGCTCTAGGCCTAAGCCTAGGTTTTCCGGAAGAATAGAAGAAACTAAAAGTTCAAGTTTAAGTCAGGTTAAAGTAGTATTTATGAGCCCTAAAGATGTCAGATTAATTAAGCTAAATAACTGGAAATAATGCCTGAAGAGCTAAACCAGTCTTGTTTTAAACAGCCTGCAGAGTAGAGGTTAAAAGCCACACCAGTGTGTAGTTACACACATCTACACAATTTAAATAATATAGTCATTCAGAATTAGGGACAGGAGCTATTAAAACAATTCACATAAATCAGGTTTCTAGGTTAAATGCAAGGAGAGCAAAGTCAAGTGTGTTTAGAGAACTACCTCCTTTCTCCATTCATAATCTCAAACTGGATACTTATCCAAGAATATGGCATCTAACGTCTTCTTTTGAAGAAAAATGGCTAATTTATTGCTTGTCAGAATAATTATTCACCTTTTTTACAATGAGAAGCAATTTAGGAGCCTAGGACATTCCAGTTCATAACAACCTGTACAAAATGCTGCAGATGGTCTCATTTGTCAGAGCAGCATTCAGTTAAATAATACCAAAATGATCATTATTGTCAGTTTTTGTTTCCGAATTAAGTTTTAACTGAGTTGTCAAGAATGTAGGCTCCAGCAGTTTTATGTGTCCATTTAATCAAGGGAAAGGAAAAGCAGCTGTTATTTCTACTTCTATTGACTGCAGATATCAATATTCCCCATAATGTTTGAAGCGCTAAAAAGCTAACTTGTCCACATGGCATTAAACTGCTAGCTTTTAACTGACACAAAGGATGAGGGAGGTTTAGCTGTTATTTGGAGTCCAGAAGGACTCTTCTTTCAACAAAAAAAATTGTTGCAAAATCCCTATTGCAACTATTTTCATAGCTGCCAAAGTGCCAAATGAGATACATTTGTTAAATGCAGTGTGGTTGTAACTTTTATGTTACTTTGAAGCTAGTTAGTCAGTGATTACCTATGAATTAGTGCACCAAACTTCATACTGCTTCACTACTTGTCAGGAAAAAAATCCCCTTTTAATGAATCTTGCTACTCTGAGCTAATAGATATGAATTATGACCACAGTCAAATTTTGTATTACTTATGTTGCTTGACACACAGTAGTAAGTAACTAGGACAGGGAATAAAGTCTTCCAAAAGGAAAGTGGCTTACACAGCCACTGACTGTGTAAAATATACGAACACAGTTGGACAGCACAGCATCATTAAACTTTGAGTAGGTACTGGAGAGCTTTTATATATTTTATATATATATATATATACACACACACATATAGCTGCCTCTGACAAATCACTTAAACTAAGATCCTGCAGGGCTAAAACTGGAGCTGAGATGATCATTTAAGGGAGGACTATGTTGGTGACAGAACAGGACCAGAGAAGAGGATACTAAGTCTCAGCCCTTAGCAAAGGGCCACTACTAGAAGCTAGGCAGTTTTGTGTGTTTTTCAACAATACACAACCAGAAAAATCTAACTACTCTAGCTACTCCTTTGCTCTCTGGCCTTAAATTGTATCTTAAGAAAAAGTCTGAGGTGAGCCCAAGGAACAGACAGCAAATAAAGTTTTGAAAGCTTCAGGCTTCTATAGCTTCAGCTGTTGAGGATGCCTAGAGAAAACATGTCCAGATGCTGCAGAGTTGGTGCTTCAGAAAAACCTGCTCTTTAAGACTAAATAGACCTCATGCTTGTACTGAAGTCTTAGCAGTTTTTGGTGGCAAGTCACTTAACACGCCAGGGGCTTAAGCAGAGTCCATCTGGCTGACATAATTCTAAGATGCTTGTAACACATAGAAGCCCCATAGCATAGACTGAACTGTAGCAGTCTGCACCAGTGACATCTGAACCAACCTTAATTAAGAGCAGAGCCAAGATGTTCTCCCCCAGAAGCAGGGCTTGGCTCCTGCCTCTAAAATTAAAATTAGCTTGTATTGTTGGTCTGAAAATTGATGACTTGACTCTCAGTGAAACATGACAAAGCATTGCAATGCTAGGACCTGTACTCCCAGCAGGGTGAAGATTTCTGAGTAAGAGATTTGAGCAAGAGGTAATGCCCACTTTTGCCATCTAATTTGATTACTTGGGCCCAAAGCACTGGAAAAGTTTTAATTCTGAAAAGATCAGAAATACATAATTAGACTCATACAAAACATCACATTTTTGCTTCAGGCTTCAAGTAATCTACAAAGTCCAGATTCTTCCCATTTATGGGAATACACTGTAGAACAGAAAGTCAAATACCCGCTTGGAATGCGTAGCTGTAGCGCTTGCCAGGTTGAACCACGTAACTTCCGAGTTTTAGTACTGTATGCTGTTGCTGCAGACCCAAACCACATGTTTAGCAGAACATCAGAAAATAAGACTCCTACACCAACTTGTTTCTTAGCTAAAAATAATTCTTCCACCAGGGGATACATGTTGGAAGCGCACAGATCCAATAATGAGCTAAGTAAAATGTTCACCCATATCCTTATTCTCCTGTCTCACATGTCACCTTACTATTACTTATTCACCCTCTAATGAATCATTACTCTGATATTGACTAAATAATGTGACTAAATAATTATAACAACAATTATAACATGACTAAATAATTATAACAACAGGAAGCCTGACAGCAAGTCCACACACAGAAGCTTTGCTCAAGAAATTAAAAAGTGGACACAGGTGAACTCCGCAGGTGACAAAATGTATTCACCAGTATCTAGTTACATACACATGCATGACTGCACCAAGAAGGATTTCAGAATATGCAATTGGACTTGTACTGTTTAAAAATGTTAGGACTGCAGCAGTGGAGTAATCATAGTTTCCATTGTTTGTACTGCTTTTACACAGCCTTGAAAACTAGTATTTCAGATACTATCTTCTTCACAAGTGACTAATACTGCTGATGAAGCTAGGGTATGATTGAACTGTTTGAATAGATATAGGTATTATCCATATTAAACAGGTTTCTAGCATGGTAGATGTACATGAGGATTTTCCAAAAATATATGTTTGTGTGTATATATATATATATATATAAACTTATCTGTATTTGGTGATGACTCTCAGAGGAGAAACATTTCAAACAATGTCTCATGTAGATGTGACATATCCCAAGCATCAGGTCATTTTTTATTTCTTTCCTACTACCAAAAATAACCACCTAGCTTAAGGTTAAAAACCTCACCCACTTGATGCATGGCTGTGTATACGGACATACTAATCCCTGAGATGCTATCCGGCCAGGTAGCGTAGGTCACCATTAAAGCAGCAGCTCTTCTTTAGGATAAAACTATAACCATGAAAAGGAACAGTAAATTCAGTAACGCATCTTACTCCTTTATCAGCTGTAAGTCAAGCTAATTATTACCTTTTTAGAATAATGAGATATTAATTGTCACAGTAATTTTGAGACAGTGACAAAAGGAGACTCTTTTTTCCCCTCATTTTCTTCCTTCAGTTGCCTTTCCCTGTAAGACAAGAACTAGGTTTTTCTCCACCCACCAGTTTTTCAAGTTACATGTAGCAAAGGAAGTTGCTTTCACTTTAGCACAGAGCTATTTTGAGACACCAATTGCTTTTAACTTGAAGATCTTGCTACCTATTATGTCCAATTATACAAAGAGGCAAAAAAAAAAAAAAAAAAAAAGGTTGTAGAAGAGTCAAGGATGTAACCTTACTGTCTCTCCAATAAATATTTTGGAATTTGAGAGCATGGGATCTACAACCACGCTCCAAAGTCTCCCATTTCTAGATGAACTAAGCAACCACCATGCAGTGTTCCTTGCTGTTCAGTACACTGCTATTAAAGGACTCAGAAACAGTTGTTTAAAATGGTTCATACCCATAGCTGGGCCAACCAAAAATGGATAGCTGGAATAAAGCAGGAGGCAGCCTCTCATAGTTTATACTCCAAACATGTATAAGAAAAAATGAAACTTCCTGTAGTCTTCCCCTACAAACAACATAGGATTTGTCTACTCTAAATATCACTTTAATTGACATAAGCCAAATACGAGTTTAAAAAGAAAATGGACTAGTTCACTGCTACATGAAGTTAGATATGATTTGGGATGACGTGTAGTCTGTATGTCCACAACACACTAGAATCATTCAGATTCTAGTTTCAGCAGTAGATTTCACTAGTAAATTATAAAATATTAAATTGTAAATTATAGCAGGTAGGTGTGGAAGTTGATATACTATTTTAAAAAAGTCCAGATCTATCACCAACCACAAAGTCCTTGAAAGTGAAGCTTATGTTATTCACAGGGCTTTTGGAAAAACAGGAATCTGTTACTGTCATCATTTAGGACAGGACAGAGACCCATGGTATTAGACAGCACTAACAGGTTTCAGGAGCAGCACAGGAAGTGCTGGATTACATTAACAGAACCACTTTATATAAATGTTAATTTCAGCTCTCATTTTGGCATCTGATAGAGTGACACACTACAAAGTGTTACTTAAGAGGCTAGTTTCCCCACATCCATTTCTACATACTTCAAGAATATATATATATATATACAAGCTATCAGAACCAGAATGAAGCTTTTTTTTTCCTGCAAAAAAGGCAGTTTAACAAACT